TATTTTTGAGACTGAAAATTTTACACTTATTTAAAAAGGACCAAACTCAGAAGTGGATTAAAGGGCAATTTAGAAAATATCTCAAACTTTTTGACATAACTTTAAGTACTTTCTCCCCTACAATTTAATATGGTAAAAGAATTGTTTATGTAAAAACCCTGATCCCAAAAAAGTAGTTTTCGAAGTGTTGTGTTTGTCTGTCTGTATGTGTGTATGTATGGTACAGAGCTACAGACCACGCCTATGGTCCGAGTCCGATTTTGATGAAATTTGGTATTTTAGGTACCTACCAATCCATGGTCTCTCCAGATGTTTTTTTTTCATTTTGGATTTTTAATAGTGATATTCCATAAAACCCTATAAAATAAAGGATGAATAAAATTTTCTCAGAATTGGCCCGAACGCTTTTGATTAAAAATTAACATGTTATACTTTTTGACTATGGCAAAAATTGTATAAACCCTCTATGCCGTAAAAATTATGGTTCAAAAGTTATTGCAACTTTTGTGATTTTCCCTTTTAAAACCTATTAATTCATGGAAAATCGGATTTAAAAAAACTACATGGCCAATTTTGATTCAAATTGTGTGCATGTAAAAAATCCAACTCATTTAAATTAAAACTAAACTAAAAAATAGTTTGCTACTAGAGTGTTAAAGCATAATTGTCCATTTAAATTGGGTTAAAAGTTTGATTCAAATGCTTAAATTCCCATAAATTTAAAGAAGTGTCAGGGGCACCCCTTCCCTCCCCGCATTATAAACATAACTATGGGTTAGCCCCCAGACCTTCCGGCATGGGTTAAACAACGAATTTGGGGGGGATTCTGCGACGTGAGCTTTGGGGGGGATGGGCACCCCTGAGTATAAGCGTAAATATGAGGGGTCTGCGGTGAACCGAAAAAGTCGGTATGGTACAAGCTTAATTACTGTCATCAGTTCGGTACAGCATTTTACACGGTACAAATTCGGTTCGTTACAGCCTATTATAATAATAAATTACTTTCAGTTTACTATTGTAGTCAAAGGCAGTTGGTTCCAAGCACATAAAAGTCTTATCATATGTTTGTTTACGATCTTCATAATTTATTACTAGGGTGAAGATGCAATAAAAAACCCATTAGCAGTCCCAAATCCATTAACATTTTATCACGAAAATAATTGTTGTATTCCAGTACAACTTCCAAGAACTGTTGAGTTTTATCACTTTTATTTCTTTACGACTTTCCCCCATTCTGTTTTATCATAAAAATAATAGTTTTATGATGACTGTTAAATGTTATCTCTAACTGAGTTAGTATTTTCATGAATATTTAATTTGCCGCTGGCCATTGCCTACTGCCATACAACTGTTTATGGCTACATATTAAACTTGTAACTAATCTACAATCTTATTTTATAAGTTAAAATATGTGTTATAGATATTTTATCTTTCTATTGACAAAACCACAAGCATAGTTGTTGTTTGCATATTTTTTTTTTCATTATGCAAGCCTACTCGGTCTTAAATTATGTCATTGCATGTTCTGTATCTTATCTTATATTGTTAGATGTGGCTGTTTAAGGCTTAAATGTTTTTTTAGTTTCCTGTATTTTTTATTGTGTTGCAGGTACTTTATGCAATCTAAATCTTATGAACTAGATAGTGATTTTGCTACCCTCATTGTAACCTAATCAATTTATATATAGGCCCTTCTAAATAATTAGGTCTAGGCCTGGGTCTTTTGATTCTTTGGAAGAGCTTTAAAATATACTAAGAAAATTGGATTGAGCCTGAGATAAACTAATGATTGATATGATTGATATTGTGGATGTTAACTTTGTAAATGAAAAGACAATAATCTTACTCTGTGATAATCCAAATTTTAGTTTCAGAAAAAAACATTGCAAAAGTTGTATCCATCTTATAACTAGTTTTGAAGCTGATAAAAAAGATGCTCTTTGCCATTACTTCATCATAACCTCCAGTTTTTCCATTGTCGTTTGCTGTGAACAGCTGGCAAAACTACATTGTCTTCGTACTGAATGCTTTTATATGTTTTTAAAAATTTAAAAAAACAACTAGACATTGTGTTTGTTGGAAATAATTTACCAGTTTTGTGAAATTATCTTGCCAATAAATGTTTCAAACATGTTTGTTCATAAAAACTCTTATCCTATTTTTAAACCACTTTATCATGGCTACTCAAAGTATCTCAGAGTAAAATAGGTAAAGCCTTTATCTTAATTGTGATTTTTCTTGACACAATCCTCGTAGTAGTAAAAGGTTTTGTTTTAATAATGTGTGGTACAGTAATTGTTGTTAGAAAACAATGAATGTAGGATACTATCCATTTTCATAGCAATGCCAATGTATTAAAGTTAAAAATAATGGTTTCGATACAGTTCTGAGAAGAAAACCACAAAAATACGGGTAGCCGCGCGTACCGTACCGATTTTGTACCGAGAACCGAGGTACAAAATATTGTACCGTACCGACCTTAAATTTTCTGTACCGCAGACCCCTAGTAAATATATGTTTTAAGTGTTATAAGACGTTTCTTTTATTTACTTTCCGTATATTAATTTTGATCAAAACCAACTTTTCTCAAAAAAAGTTTTTCTTTGTTATTTTATGGGTTTTTATGGGAAAATAATATAAGTTACAATAACTTTTGAACCGTAATTTTTACGGAAATGGGATTTGTACCATTTTGATCAGAATTGAAAGGACTATAACATACTAAATCTTTAAGAAAATCGTTCGGGCCATTTTCGAGAAACTCAAATTTTTTCATTATTTTATGGGGTTTTATGGAAAAATCCTCATTAAAAATCCAAATTTCAAAAAAATTTAAAAACTTTCAAAATGTTTAGGACCATAACATACTAAGTTAAATCAAAACCGGTTTTTTTCTAAAATCATATTTTTCAGATTTTTTACAGAAGTTTTTTTACAGGTAGTGTACATAGCTTAAGGGCGCGGTTGAACCCCGAAGACCAAGACTGTATATATATTAGTGACGACCGTGGAAGCCTATCCATGAAGATCATATTTTTCGTTATTTTAGGGGGGTAATGGGAAAATAACATAATTTACAGTAACCTTTGAACCTTAATTTTTACATAAATGGGAGTTGTACCAACATCTTTCGGGCTATTTTTGAGTAAATCCGTATTTTCTGTTATTTTATAGTTTTAATGGGGAAATCAACATTAATAATTAAAATTTCAAAAATAAATAAAAATCCTGGAGATACCATGGATACGCGTGGTGTTTTGGTCAACGTAACACCAAATTTCATCGAAATCGGACCACAGGTGTAGCTCTGTACACATCCAGACACACAGACACACACACACACAGACATTACTTCGAATACCACTTTTTTTCGGTCCAGGGAGACCCAAAACGGATATATCCACTCAAAACTCAAACTCGAAACTTTTGACGAAAACAATACTTTCTCCATACTAATGGTATAGGGGGAGAAAGAAAAATTGTAAATTAAAAATTCCCATGTTATTCTTATGGAGAATAAAAAAACGTTTGTAGTTCGGTTTATGAATATATATTTAATTTTGTTTATTTTATTCTAAGCTATCAACATTTCAATAAAAAAAAACAAAAAAAAAAACACCTCAATACCTTCCCCATAGCAGCAAACCTAAGTACTCATTAAAATTAATGTTATTTAAATATGAAATAAATCTGACAATTTAAAAAAAAATATTTTAGTAGAAATTCAGCCCAGTAAATGGAAATTCACATAGTCTGCAGGTTTGCTGCGGCGGGGGTTTTATTTACTTTCTGTTAATTTAATAACACGTACAATGCTGATCAAGAAGTTGTTTATATATAAACAATATGTGTGTCCGTTAGCGCGATAACTCAAGCAAAAATGACCCGATTTTAATGAAATTCGGTACAAACGTGTAAGCAAACTACAACATTTTACAATATTCTACATAAGATATTGTAATAATAACATGAGAATTTTAAATGTACAATTTTTTGAATTTACTCCGTTACCAATAACCCTACAAAAACACTTTAATATACTAAATTATTGGTTTTTTAAGCTCTTTTAATAGGTCTAGAGAGAAGTTAGGAAATTTCGTGTTTTGAGGGTCAAAAATGAGAAAACCCAATTTTTACCCCATAAAACTCCCCCTAAAACCCTGTTCCCATGGTCTGATCATGCTGGTTTGCAAATTCATTCAAGTTTAACCCCCCCCCCCCCCTTATACCTTTAAACCAAATATTATCAAAATCGGACAAAAATTACTCAAGTTATCGCATTTACGGATATATGAACATTTGAACGAATGGTGTTTTTGGCCTCGGGTGACATCAAAATGAAAAAGGAAATCGGTCCCGGGCCTAGGTCTTACCGTGCCACCTACGGTAATAGCTACTTCCCTATAGGGAAATTCGCTAAAACATGGCTTACTATTCAAACCTAAAAAACTCTTTTTATCAAAAAACAAATACAACAATAAATTAAACTCTTGACACTAGCAAAACAAATTAATGAAATTGTTTTCATAAACACCAAAAATTGAAATTGCCGTAATTAAACTTTTGACACAGAAATAATAACATAAATACTGGATCAATACCTACTTAATTGGATTAAATACTTGGTTTTGAATTCCAAAACTCTTGCCAATCGTAGCTCAAAACTTGAATTTTTTAAATGTTTTTGCTGGTTTTGAGATTTGAGATTCGGTTTTGGCACAATACTGGCCATCATACTTAACTTCAACAAACAAACTTTACAAACATTCCCACTTTTCATCGAAATAATCTTGGTTATAGTTTGGTTGTATATAATGTGTTTAGCCGTTATTACGTGATGCTTTAACAAATTTGCATTGAAGTGCGCTCTAAAAGCAGTGGCTAGTAAGGTAAATAAACTGAATGGGATCGCCTTTTTAACAATCACAGTCTCCTCTGTGAAACACGAGCTATTTATTACATAAAAAAAACTCAAGTGTCTCTCCTGTATGTTTTGTCAGGATGGTGGGTGGAGGCGTGCTGGGCCGTGGGTGTGTTCAGGAGGAGATTAGGTTTGCCATTTGTCCTGAACTGATCCTTGCTCGACTCTTTGCTGAGGTTCTTACTGATACCGAAGCTCTTATAATCAATGGTGAGTAACAGGGGTTTTGCCAACCCACATGTTGACAGTTTAAGAGAAACACAACTTAAATGTTTGTTAATATCTTTTTTTACTTTATTTAATTTACAATCTGTTCAAAAGTTGAACAATAAGCAAATGAAATAACATACAACATTAAAAGTTAACTTGAAGAACATGAGCTAGTATTGATCACTGCCAACACTAGAACAACAACAAAGAGAATTTTGATAATTTATGAGCCTTGGTGGTGAAGTGGATAGCTTACCTGGCTCATAATCTGTTTGTTAATATGATATGATTTTTTCACTCAATAATTTAGTTTTCAGTTTTAAATATTCCTAAATTTAAACAAAAATTTCTTTTTTAGTGGGTTTTCATATTTTATACTTATTTTTTATTATTATTTACTTGCCCCTCTGTACCTTCTTTGTATATTCTTTAAGTTGTTTTGCTTCAAATTGAAATAAGAATCAATTGCAAATAATGATGTGTTGATGATGATGTTCTGAATGGATTGATTATACTTGATTCAACTCCTGTCTTTATATCATTCTAAAAAGTATTTTTATGTTAATGGGGTGTTTTTTAAGTAAAAAAAATTATACACCATTGAACAATTTTATTTAAGATAAATGAAGATCTGACAACAAAAATCTAAAAATAAAATGTTATTATGACTAGAGGTGTGCCAGCCTGGTATTTTCGGTCAAGCCAAACTCAAGGTAATATCTTGACCATCTCCTGCGGTTGTAGAGACATCGTCGTCTTCTGGGATCACTGCAAAATTCTGAATATCTTTCTCAGTCAAAGAAACATCGTCACTGTCTTTCGCAGTCACGGCAAAATCCTGAATATTGATCAGCAGTAAAAGAAACACAATCATCGTCTTCCGTGATCGCGGCAAAATTCTGATAATCTCCCGGGCTGGTGTAGACATCATTATCAACTCCCTCGGTCACAGAAATGTCAACGTCATCTTGCGTGGTGGCTACAAAATCATTAAACATCACCTGCGGCCTTGTAGACCTCATCATTGACTTCCGCGGTCACGAAAACGTCATCATTGTCTTGCGCGATCGTGGGAAAACCACAAACATCTCCCGTGGTCACCATCGTCTCACACGGTCACGGAAACGTCATTGTTGTCTTGCGCGATAGCGGCAAAATCATGAACATCAACCACAGTAATGTAGAAATCATCATCAACTGTAGCGGTCACAGATACTTCATCATCGTCTTGTACAATCGGGGCAAAAGCGGAAATGTTCCGATCGCATGGTCGTGAGGTATCGGTATCAGAATCGACTTTTGACAATCAATTCTCCATACCGATACCAACGTCCAATATTAGTGGTATCAAGAGTTGCCACATCCCTAATTGTGAACATATTTTCCATAAATCATCAGACTTATTGAAAGTTAATGTTTTATGGGAAACTAAAATAATCAGAGCTAAATTAAAGCTCTTATACATTTGCTTTCAAATTTGTGATTAATTCATGCAATTAGACATTGCTTTCATATAAAAATGTAAACTCACCTTAAAATATTCATTTTAGGCTAGGCCTATTCTACAAATGTTTAAAGTTAATAAGTTAATAAAGATATGGATTACAAAATGGGTTTTATTTAAACAAATGAACAATTAACATGCAATGAGAAAAGGCTTGACGTTACAATGAAAGGATTGACAATGGTGTATGGGGTTGAAATTAAATTGAAATAAAAATAAATTTGAATAATAACTTAAAGGTTCAAATAATTTAGATGTGACATCTCTCAGGGTAGGGTGTCGTGCTGGCTTGAATGCTGATAATTAATAAATTTAATAGCGTCCAAATAGGCCTAATTAAAGTGTTAAATTTACACAATCTCAACAATGGAAAATCTAATTTTGGTGTTGTCCAAAAGGTAAGTCCAATTAGTATAAAATTTAAAAGAGTTTAAAGAAAAGGTTATACTTAATTTTGAAGATAATGATTGAGTTGAGTCCTCTTGAGGTTTAGGCTACTATATGATATAACTTGAAACTTGAAATGAACTTGATTCTTGATAAATGAATTTGATTTAACTTAGGTAAAAATGTTGAGTCCTTCTTCTAATAATTTCAACTTCTCAATGGCTTCCTTCTCTCTCAATTCCAATGTTCACATCACTGATTGTTGAACACATGGGATCACTTTCACTGCTTCTTAAATTTTGATTCCTTATGGACTAATTTTGAAATTATATTATAAGAAATTTTGATGTATTGCAATTCTCTTACATATTTAATAAATAATTAGGTTGTGGGTGTTGAAAAAAAAATATAGGCTATGGAATGAATATTATTAATGATTAATTGAACATATTAATGAAATGATAGAAATTAGGAAAATGAATATTAGGGCAGCCTTTCTGAGGAGTGATTATTAGGTGTATGAATAAAAGTTAACATAAAAAAAAAAAATTAATACTAAATAATGAATGAAATGAAATGAAATATTACAATTTATCTCCTCAGAAATTTGTATGATATGGAATGAAGGACAAATTTCGAACGAATATGAAATGGAATTCATGAATCATTTAGTATGAATTATATTTAAAGCTAGTTATGGGTCACATTAAATGATTGATATTTTTGGATGATGATGCTTAGAAACTTCTTAATCTAAATTTACATAAACACAGGAACAAACATAAATGGGGAAATTAGTGAGGGTTAAGATAGTTCATGACCTGACACAGGGAAATAGCAATAGAAGCAATGTTAAGGATATGTTTTCACAGTTTTCACTTGGGAAATGGGGAAAAGGTACACGCACTCGCGATTAAGGTTCATGACGATCTCCTCTAATATAATTTATGACACTTGATTAATATGGATTGAATCGGAATTTATTTACACAATGTTTTGAGAGTTTATATCGCTGAGATATTCTTCACCATTTGACGTCTCCTCTTCTATAATTGGTTCTATGTATCGTTTTAAAGCAGAGATGTGATATGGTCCGAGTAAAATATCTTCATTCTCTCTTGTTACATGATACGTGGATTTTCCTAATATTTGCTTGATGAAGAACGGTCCTTCATAAACTTCGAAAAGTTTTGCTGTTTCTCCATAGATGGCTCTGGAGAGGGGATGTGTTTTTATTAATACTTTGTCATTTATTTTTAATGTTTGAGGTTTTCGATTTTGATTTAATTTTGCTGATCTCTTGAGTCTTTTGGTATCCAACCTACGCTTAGCAATCAGAAGCTTTTGTTCTATAGGGGTTTCGGTGTTGAATGGATTTTCAGATAAATATTTCTCCCAAAATCGGCGATCTCTAACACCAAATTGTAATTCATTGGGTGTGAATCCGGTTGATTCATGGTAAAGCTCATTGAGACCTGCATTAATGTCGGGGATATATTTTGCCCACTTCTTGTGTTGATTGGAGCAATATGTGCGCAAACATCGCTTTATTTCACGAATCGGTCTTTCGGCAAGATTATAACATGGATGGTAGACTGGATTAAAGATTAATTCAATATTATTTTGTTCCATCTTATGAATATATTCTCCGCTCTTAAATTGGGTTCCATTATCTGACTGGATTCTTTTTGGATATCCATAATTTGGGAAGTGCAATGTAAATAACTTGTTTAATATTGTCTTAGCATTAGCTTTTTGCATGGGATATAATTTTACAAATTTTGTGAATATATCGATGACTATAAGAATATATTTAACGTTTGACACACTGGTAGGAAGAGGTCCGATGATATCAACGGCAAGTTGTTCATTCTTTCCTGTACAAAGCACTCCTTTCGCTGTAGCCATCAATGGTTGGTTACTGATCTTACATTTCTGACAAGTATCGCATGTAGATAGGTATTTCCTTATAATTCGATTCATGTTACGAAATATGAAAGTTTCTTGCAATAACTGAAAGCATTTTTTGGCTCCGCAGTGTAGGTAAAACAGATGACATTCCCATATGAGATCCTTAATCATACAATTAGGAACAACAATCAACCATTTGTCTCTTAACTTTTGATAAAGAGTATTTTTATAGATGCGGAAATTATTTGATAATTTTTGTGCAAAATCTGAATTTGGTTGTTCTTCAAGTATTTCAATTATAGGTTGTAGTTTAATATCTTCTCTCTGCAGTTGTGGTAGATTTCGTAATGCACTCTTCAGTTGTTGATCGGGGATGTTTTCAATGTAGTGAATCGTTAATTCCTTTGGATTGTTATATGAGATAGTGGATTGGTCGATTGAAAGGCGACTTAGTGTGTCAGCAGTAATGTTATCTATACCTTTACAATGAACAATTTTGAAGTTATATTCTTGTATAGTGAGTATCCATCTGGCTAATCGGTTATTTAATAGGCGGCAAGATTTTAAGAAAGTAAGTGCGTGGTTGTCTGTGATAATAGTTAATTTTGTTCCAAGGATGATATATCGAGACTTCTGTAAACAATAAATTATGGCAAGGAGTTCCTTTTCAGTCGTAGTGTACCTCTGTTCGAATGGTTGAAGTGTTCTTGATATAAACATGATGGCAGCTTTCTCTCCATTTTCTCGTAACTGATATAAATGTCCACCTATTGCATAGTCGGAAGCATCAGTCTGTAAGAAGAACTCTTTAGATGGGTCAGGATGTGTTAAGGTATTAGTTTTTAGAAATAGTTCTTTAATCTTCATAAAGGTGACGTCATCTTCTTTGGTCCAAACAAATTTGTTTTTCTTTGAAGTTAGTCGCATCAAGGGTTGTGTGGTTGCGGAAAATTTATCTATGAACTTGTTGTAATAATTTATACTACCAAGGAAAGCTTTAAGTTGAGTTCTGTTTTTAGGGGTAGGGAAATTTAATATGGGTTCCACTTTGCTCCGGTCCATTTGAAGTCCATCATTTGTTAACGTGTACCCTAGAAATGGTACAGAATTTTGGCAAAACTTTGATTTATTGAATCGAACTGTCATGTTGGCTTCTTCTAATTTCTTAAATATATATTCTAGATGTTTTATGTGCGACTCAAAATCTGGTGAAATTATACAGATATCATCTACATAAATTGCAGTAAAATCTTCAGCTTCTGAATCAAATACATTGTCTAGTGCTCGAACCAAGGCGGCTTGTGAGGTAGAGATACCAAATGGTGTTACAGTGTATTGGTAGGTTTTGCCTCTGAATTGAAATGCTGTATATTGTTTGGAATTTTCAGTAAGTGGTATTTGCCAATATGATGCGGTAAGATCAATACTACTTATGAACTTTGCATTTTTACATTTCCCAAGAATCTCATTTACACTTCTGTTGCATTCAAAATCAGGAATAATAATCTCATTTGCTTTTCGGGCATCAAGACATAATCTGATTTCTCCAGTTTTCTTAATGACTGGAATTATCGGGTTAATAAATGTACTTTTACTCCTTTCAATTACTCCTAAGGATTCCATCCTATCAATTTCTTTTTGTACTGCATCTTGATATTGTTGTGGCACGGGATAAGTTGCGCTTTTAAAGTGTTGCGGATTATCTACTCGCAAATCGTGAGAATATTTATTGCATATGCCTGGTTGTTCAGAGAAAATGTGTTTGTAATTATTTAATAATTGACTTAGAATTGTTTGTTCTTCCTGAGTAATACATGTGTTTGGTGCTAATGATGTATTAATCTCCTCAAATGTTAATGTGGTGTCCTTTGATGGATTACTTTGTTGATCATTGAAGTTGTGTGTTGTGCTATCATACTCATTATATATTACGTTATTGTGGTACACATCGTACATCATATTATCAAAATTATCATTTATATTATTATTTGGCCTATGGCTATTATTAACTACTATTTGACATATTTGTCCTTCATGATGACACAAATTAAACTTCACTGTAACATTGTTATTGTTGATTTGCATATTGATTTCATTTGTATTAAAATTCAAATCCATTTTAAGGGCGGATAGTAAATCGACTCCAAGGATGACTGGCTTTATTAAGTTTGGCACTATCAAATATTCAGTAAGCACGGTATGTTTATTAATTGTGGTTGGGACATATATTGTTCGGGAAACACGCTTACTCTTTTCTCCTACAGCAGTTTTTATAACGGTATTATTTACAGGGAGTTCTTCAAATGGTTGTAGGTTTATTCTGTTTTCTTGAAACCATGATTCGGCTATACATGTAACTGACGAACCTGAATCAATTAAGGCATTTGTGTTGATGTTATTTAATTTTATGTTAATTTCTGGGCAGTTAATTTGAATGTAATTTTTGTTGACATTAGCTTCGGATTCATCTTCTAAGAGAAAGTTTTTATCACATAATATATTATTTGTCTGAATATGGTTAAGTATATGATTCCTATATTGACCGAGGATTTCGTATTTTGGCGCTGTATTCAATGAAGAATCAGTTGACATAATTCTTTCTCGGCCGTAATCTACAGCGCCGAGTGGTTTTCCGACCTCTGTGGAGATCGTGAAACACGAGAACTTGAATGGTGGTGGCTGTTTAGTTGTGGATCCATGGGTGGAGTACTCGGGTTATTAGGCGAGTTGGAATTTTGCCTATACATCGCACATAGTTGGTTCTGTTCCTTAGTAGGGTGATTATGATTATATTTGTAGTTTTGGCCATAGTTCCGGTCTGGGTAGTGGTCACGCTGATATGGTTTGTAGTCTCGGTGCACCCGTTGGTACTGTTGGGACTCATTACCGTTGTTTCTGTTGTATCGGTAATTTTGTTGATTCCTATGATGTTGGTTGTTCTGTGCATAGTTATCGCTGTGTTGGAAGTTCTGGTGGTTCATCTTAGGCACGTAAGCTTGTTGGTTAGTAGATCGATCATGGTAACGTTGCTGGTTCTGTATGTTAGGGCTAGACGGTCTGCTGTTCTGATGACTGTTGTTGTAGCTCTTAACTTTCTTCGGTCCGTCTCGAATGTCATCCTTCTGTAGAAGTCGTTCCATGGCTCTTATTGTGGTGATATTTTGCATATTAACACTGTCCTGGATGATTGGATCGAATCGCTCTGCCAATAATGATACGATCTCCTCTTCACTTAAACTAGGGGAGATGGATTGCAATAAAAGTACTCGTTCTGTTAAATATTCCGTACGGCTCAAGGTTCCATTAGCTCGATATTTTTCAGACTCAATCTTGGCTTTTATTCCTCTTTGGACGGCTTGACTCCAATATTTGCACTCAAATTCCTTAACAAAATGGTCCCAATCAAGAATGTCTGATCTGATTAGTTGTAACCATCGGGATGCGGGTCCTTCAAATGACGTTTCCAATAGGTCTTTAAGGTATTCGGTTTGATCGCAGTTCATATTCCTTTCGATCCCTCTCTCGTAATATCGCTTAAGTTTGCGCAGATATTCCATTGGGTTACCGCTTCGTCCATTAAATTTTGGCAATTGACGATCATTGTTCTCATTACCGCTACAGATTACTTGAATCGCACCTGCTTGTCCATTTATTGGGTTAGCTTGCTTTAAGTTGTTTACTTCAGACTCACATTTGATTAAATTTTGGTTGAGGGTTTGAATTTCGAGCTGTTGTGTTTCAATTAATCTAGTTTGTAGGGTGATTTTAGGCAATACTTCATTTTGTAGGGCAGTTAAATTTATTTTTGAGTTACGTTCATTGTCAAGTTGTGTTTTAACTGTGATTTCTTCTATTTTCTGCTCAAAATTAGATTTATGTTCTTCTAACTGTGATTTTACTGTTGAGATTATTAGTTCTTGGAATTTGTTATGCTCTATTTCTGAATTAGATTGTTGTTTTGATATGCTATTAACAACAAATTGTTTCAACTGATTTTGAGAATCTTCAATTTTTAACATTAGCCGATCATTTAATTTAGCTGTTTCTTCAGTTAAAATACTTTGTGTTAATTTTATGGCATTTATTTCTGACTTTATTTCAATTTGACTTTCTCTAGTTTCACGTATTTGTGATTCAAATGCGTTTCTACAAGCTTGGATTTCTTGGTAGGTTTCGTTTATTTTATTGTTAAATGTTTGAATTAGTTTAGCTTCAGTTTGATTAATCTGCAGTTTTGTTATTTCTTGGATTTCTGATTTAGTTTCACGGATTTCGTTTTTAGTTTCACGGATTTCTGACTTTAATTCTGCAGTTATTTCTGACTTTAATTCAGCACTGGTTTGTTCAAACTTATTACTCAAGTTGGTCATAAGGTTAACTAACATGTTCATATCGATTGTGGGTGTCTGTACTGGAGGATTTGTGACGTTTAATTCATCAGTTGAAGTGTCGGAATGAGTAAGGAGCTCGTGATTCACATTATGAACGGACTGAGACTGTGTTTGAATTATATCAGCTGTTCGACGGCTGTCTGCAATATCGTATATCACATTTGTCGAGGTTCGGGAAACGTCGTTTAAGTCCGGCTGCATTCGGCACGACGGCACTGTGTTTTTGGTCGGTGGCGTTTCGGCTAGAAGAGGCAGTTTGGGTGGCGGAACAAAACCGGTTAAAGTCGAATGATCAACGCTGTCTGATTGGTCAATGGATCCGGTGAACGGTTGGTAGTCGTTGAAATTTGAGGCTTCTTCTCGGGTTTGTTGTTGTTCTGCTTGTTGCTCAAAATGGCTGCCGTGTGTTCTGTCATTTATGTCGTCGTCGTCTGAAGAACTCGACAATCTATCCAGAGACGCGTAGTTTCGTTTAGGCCTTAAATTATACTTATTTTCCGACATTTTAATGTGAAATGTGTTAGGTCATGCGTGGTTATTAAATATGCGATGTTGTTGTGTTGATTATTTTGGGAAACAGGGGCAATTACGGGACAAATTAACAATGCAAACTCTTAAATCTAACAAACTTATAGGCTAGTTATGGTGAGAATTGCAATAAAGTTAATGAGCTATTCAAGCCAACACGTTGGTGCGCCAATTTGTAAACTCACCTTAAAATATTCATTTTAGGCTAGGCCTATTCTACAAATGTTTAAAGTTAATAAGTTAATAAAGATATGGATTACAAAATGGGTTTTATTTAAACAAATGAACAATTAACATGCAATGAGAAAAGGCTTGACGTTACAATGAAAGGATTGACAATGGTGTATGGGGTTGAAATTAAATTGAAATAAAAATAAATTTGAATAATAACTTAAAGGTTCAAATAATTTAGATGTGACATCTCTCAGGGTAGGGTGTCGTGCTGGCTTGAATGCTGATAATTAATAAATTTAATAGCGTCCAAATAGGCCTAATTAAAGTGTTAAATTTACACAATCTCAACAATGGAAAATCTAATTTTGGTGTTGTCCAAAAGGTAAGTCCAATTAGTATAAAATTTAAAAGAGTTTAAAGAAAAGGTTATACTTAATTTTGAAGATAATGATTGAGTTGAGTCCTCTTGAGGTTTAGGCTACTATATGATATAACTTGAAACTTGAAATGAACTTGATTCTTGATAAATGAATTTGATTTAACTTAGGTAAAAATGTTGAGTCCTTCTTCTAATAATTTCAACTTCTCAATGGCTTCCTTCTCTCTCAATTCCAATGTTCACATCACTGATTGTTGAACACATGGGATCACTTTCACTGCTTCTTAAATTTTGATTCCTTATGGACTAATTTTGAAATTATATTATAAGAAATTTTGATGTATTGCAATTCTCTTACATATTTAATAAATAATTAGGTTGTGGGTGTTGAAAAAAAAAATATAGGCTATGGAATGAATATTATTAATGATTAATTGAACATATTAATGAAATGATAGAAATTAGGAAAATGAATATTAGGGCAGCCTTTCTGAGGAGTGATTATTAGGTGTATGAATAAAAGTTAACATTTAAAAAAAAATTAATACTAAATAATGAATGAAATGAAATGAAATATTACAAAAAGTTAACATACTAATTTTCCACAGTGTCATACTTCTTACAATTTTATCTTGAGAGATCAGAAGCAGAAGTTTAGTTAGTACTTATGTTGTTTTGCAGGCTGTGAAAGGTTCAGCATGTATAAAGGGTATTCGGACAACTTTGAGTGGGCTGGCAACTTTGAGGACCAGACTCCAAGAGACAGTTTTGGCCGAAGATACTGTACTGTGGTGGCTGTGGATGCCACAAGATTTCCCAATCCAAAGGTCCAATACTCAGCCAACAATATCAACAGGGAACTCAACAAAGTAGGGTCCCTAAACATTTATGATGTAAAAAATGTTTTTAACGAAGAATGGTTAACATGAGATGATTAGATATACGAGTATTATTGCGCTTGTTTGATTAATATCTATCAAACTTTAATTTTACTTTATATAACTAGGAAACTCTCACACTCACAAACACAAACCAATCTCAGGAATTGGCAAACTTGTGGTCGTGGGATTGGTGGTGCCTGCAGGGAGGGAGGAGGTAATTAAAAATACCTCCACCATTATAAACCCTAATGATGGTACTCTAAAATGATTCGCCAGACACATGAAACAGACAGAGATTGCTGATAACAGCTGCAATTATCGATTGTTGGGGATTTTTCAGGTACTGTCACTAACCACATAAATGTTATTAGCAATGATATAAACTAAACAAATTTGCTTTGATAAAATTGAAAGTTAATAAAATATGCGGAAAGTAAATAAAAGAAACGTCTTATAACACTTAAAACATATATTTACTCTTATACTGTTACTCACAGGACGGTAAATATACAAAAAAGATGGTAAGTGGTGATCGATTTCGATTGGACACTCCAATCATCATCAGAAATTTGGAAATTTGCTAAAAAAACTACAAAATTATTATTGTGATGAAGAATAGTAATGGGGTTGTAATTGCATCACCCTAGTAATAAATTATAAACAAACTTTTGATAAACCTTTTTCCTCATAATGCAGAAATATAGATAACTGTTTTTGATACAATTTAAATTTAATACATTGCGGGTGTAAAGTAGGTAGCTCTTTTCTCCCTAGGAGTAAAAATCAGCTGTTGTAAACTTAAATTATTGCAAGCAGGTATTGAAAGTATGTATCTAGGGGTCTCAATCCCGGGATCCCGGCCGATTTTTGATACCTATAAATCCCGGGATTGGTGACTCTTAATTCCGGGATTGACGGGATTGCAAATCCTATGTTTATATATATTTATTTTTTGTGAATTTGAGGACTTATATATATTTTGATATTTTGAGGAAAATAAATAAAAATACGTCTCCTAACACTTGAAACACATATACTCTTTATTTTAGGACGATATATATGTAGCGTAATCAAAAGGTTATTGTAGAAATAATAAAGTGGACTGTATATGGGTTATTAATTTAATTTTGACAACAGAAAATAATTATGGACTTTTGGTTGAATATTTAACACTGAACTATAGGTATGTTACCACTTTGACGTTATTAAGGTCTTGAAAGAAGATCTGGTCGAACGTTGGCTCTAGTTGAGAAGATAATATGTTTCATTAATGTCCAAATGTTCTCACAGTATTTTACAGTATTTTTTTCACAGAATTTAGAGTCAAATTAAAAAGGGTTTATTAAATGCACACAAAAAGAAAAGGTAAATGAAACAAGTCAAAATAAAAGGAGAGAGAAATGAATGATGTTATACAAAGAAACGATATTACGAGAGAGAAAAAATTGCACTTTTTGAACCAGAATGTTTACATTTTCAAATTTTTATTATTGTATTGTTGTTGACATGTGGGGATTATTTTAATATGCTCATATGGTCAGCTGGCCTTTTACTGAACAATATATATATGAAATGGTATAAGTAATGATCTTTTTTGATTGGAAAATTTAATTATCACTAAGCTCAATAGGCGAACGAATGTAGGCCTAAATATATGTTTAAGACAATTTGGATTTACTTTTTGTAAATGTTATTACATTAGTTAGAACTTAATTACAGTAGGGCTATAAGTTATTTTGAGTTTTTTTTAACATTAAACGTAAAGAACGCAATTGAAAGTAACCTTGAAAGTAACCGTTGATTTTCCATGGGTTTTGCCTATTCAAAAACTAAATTAAATATACTTAATCACAAATAACTAAAAAACCGTTAGGTTTAGAGAAAAAGGATAAGCACCGGTATATAAAATGTGTATTTTTAGATGGACTACATTTTGTATATGTAACTTTTTCCTGTAATAATAAAGTTACTATAGCCAAAAATACAGAAATATGCCGCCATTTTCCAATATGTCGGCCGTAGCACAGCTTCAATTTTAGGGGACTTTTAGTATGTTCAAAAGGAAGGTACACCCAACATATGTACCAAATTCCCCGCTTGAGCTAATTTCTTTTGGGTCAAAACATATTTTTATTGTTCTAATTAGCAAACTTCTGTTTGACTGTAGATATCGCCTAAACCTAAAACCTCACCGCTACAAGACTGGTACTTGATATACGATTACGGAAATAAAATGAAAATACAAATAAGTTAGAGAAACATTCTGATTGACGATTCATCCATACGACCATTGTTGAATAACGCACTTCCCTCAAACGAAAATGGCGATGTATCTCTCTGGTGGCTCGTTGACAAAAAACCTCCCTCGCTTCCCCCTCCACTGTCTGTCCAGCCCGATTTTAGTTCTACTCCCCCCATTAGAAGCGCTGTCCAACGGAAATGGAAACTAACCCAAAGGGTCTCAAAGCTTCTCGATCTTTCTAGAATCGGACACAGAAGTTACCCAGAGTGCTCTGAAACCTTCTACAGGGTTGGTACGGTCAGGGAAAACCTGGAAAAGTGAGGGAATTTTATTGGTCTGGAAAAGTCAGGGAATTATGGAAAAATGCTGGAATTTCTCCTGAAAGACTACCTTTTTACAGATATGCTACATTTTGCTCTAAACATGTTTTTGTCAGGGTGATAACTAATGGCAAAAAGAACGACATAAGCTCTGATGCACATTTTTATATCGATAGTTAGTTATCGGTACGGGGGAGGAATCAAGATGTATACAGTTGTAAACAAGTTTTGTATTAGGGAGTGATTAAATAAGTATAATATTTAAATTTGTTCTAATATTTCTTGAATTTAATTAGTCAATATCGACTTATGGTATATCTGGAAAAAGTATAATATCAGTCTGAAAAACCTGGAAAAGTCAGGGAATTTTATTTTCCAAATTTAGTACCAACCCTGTTCTAGCATGTTCTCGGACAATCTGGAAGGTCGTTCAACCTCCCCCCCCCCCTCTTTGTACTTGAACTTGTTGGCTGTTTCTTCCGAATTTGAATGATTTTTTTCTAGTTTAATTAATTTACTAGTGGAACCCCGTCAAATTCGACGGTAAATCTTGAGGTTTTATGTAAATTCAGCTAACTGCGATGGATAGAGTGAAGTCATTAGAATCTTAGTTAAATGGAGGGAGGATAAGCAATAATAAGTATGACGATTGTGTTCCCTAAAAAACGTGATTGGTGAATTCGTTTAACACAATATTTCCTACCTTTTTATCGGCCTTAGATTGCCCAAAAGGTTTTTTAGGAGTCTTATAATTGTTTGTTCATGAGTTTGTTTCATACCAAAGCCACTTTCACTATATGGGAGAATGAGTTCATATAATTAGTCTATCATGTTACGGAAAGAGTCAATATTTATTACTAACCACTAATTCCATCTGCTTTAGGAAAATCATTCAGATTGTATCCGGATTTATAAGTTATCATCATCTTTGGTCATAAAAATACAGAATTCTATCAGCATATTAAATCAGTTTTTTTGTTTGATAAAACTATCTGATTCTCCAGAAAGCAGTAACATTCTTACTTCGATCTCAGCAATTTTAATTCCTTCTCTTGCCACATCGACCCATGTATTTAATCATAATGTTCTAACTTGATAATTCATTAACTTGTGGGGTAGTTTTGCCTTGGTCATATAGATCACATAACGCTGTGCATGTATTTCGTGGATTGGAATGAACCATAATCTGTATGTTAGGAAGTTTTATCACAAATCTTGAACATTTGCGGAACCAAATCCATAACCTAGTCCAGCCTTGGTAACAAATTATGCAAATGCGATTAGATGTGATGTTGATGTTGTGTTTCCGAATGTTTTGTATGTAGTGAGGTTTAGATGCGTTGTTCGACCTAGCTACATGTGTACATCAAAGTAAAAACTGTGTACATCAAAGTAAAAACTGTGTACACATTTTTTTTAAATACCTGAATTGACATTAGTTCACCTACTTTACCAAAACCATAGACTCCGTAGTTAGTCTATTCCAAAACTTGAACACAGCTTTCATCCTCAACGTACTCATCTATGACACAATTTTCAACCCAAAATTTTCTAAGAGCAATAAAGCATTGATTTTTGAACAAAACATTTAAAACGTATCATAAATTCATCATTTTGATGAAACTATAAAAAAAGTGCCATGCAGTGGAGAATCCATTTAAAATCATAAATAATAATGTAAACATTTAATTTTGACAGTTTCAGTAGACCTTTGGATACAATTTTAATATTAACAGCTGGTTCATTAAAAGTATTGTAAAATTATCCATATGTTCGAAATGTAAACAACATTGCAGAGTGAACTTTAAAGGCCTCTGGGGCAGAGCCCCAACGAAATTTACCTCGTTTCTCTTTTGAGGGCTCACCTACAGACCAATACCTTTCTTTAGACACCCCTACCAAGTTTCTACGCCCAGCCGTTCTCTCACATTAGCTGTGACAAAAACCTCGTTTTCCTCCATAAGAATAACATGGTATGGGAATTTAAAGGCCACTGGGGCAGAGCCCCGAGGGAATTCTCTTTGTTTCTCTTTTGATGGCTCATCTACAGACCAGGACCTTTCTTTAGACACCTCTACCGAGTTTCTACGCCCAGCCGTTCTCTCAAAATAGCTGTCACAAAGAAAAACAGTTTCAAATTAATATATAGATTAATTAATTTTTTTAAATATGCATCAACCCATTACATTGGACTATGGGAACAGGGGTTTTATGGGGTAAATTTTTTTTTTCCATTTTGACCCAAAAAACATAAAATTTAGCAATTTCTTTCCAAACCATTATGTATAGCTTAAAAAAAAAACAAATAATTTAGTATATTGAAGCGTTGTTATTCGCTTAATAGTTACGGAGAAAATTAAAAATAATTTTAATTTAAAATTCCCATTTTATTCTTATGGAGAATAAGTAAATTGTTATTTCTTACTAAACTATTAACATTTTACAAAAAAAACTTTTACCCTCCCTGTTGCAGCAAACCTACTCGTTAAACTAATTATATTTGAATAGGGAATAAATGTGATATTTTTATGGTAACATTTTAGTGTTAATCCAATCAGGCAAATGGAAATTTGCTTAGTCTGCAGGTTTGCTGCGGCGGGAATATTTTAAATTAGCACAATTGAAAACAAGTTGGAAGTCGTTTTGAGGGGTTATCTTTACATAAAAAGTATTTTTATTTTGTGAAAAATAATACAGTTCATCACAAGAGCACAAAGTGTCTGGACCCTTGTTCAATTGAAACTTGAGCTCATGTTAAAAGAGCCACTTTACCTCCTAGTGATCGAATAAACTTTTACGTGCTCCTAACCAACAACTGTGGATTGTTCAGTATCCAAAGTTAAATTGGTTGTCTACTTGCAGTATCCAAATTCAATATTGGATAGGCCTAATTGTTTATTAATTTTGTAGTGTATTATGCTCAATCTCTTAATCCATTTGTTCTTTCCTTTTATTCTGTATTATTTATACATTTCTACAAATGCGTAAACATATACTTCAAAAACATCTACTGTACTGCAATTATTTTGTTTACGACTTCCTTGGTATTTTGAAAATCCATCATAGTGATCAATCAATCTTCCCATTAGTTCCATGAATTTCTAAAAGTTTAGATTCCCATTGGGCAGGGCCGTGATGTCTGATTTGTACCATTTCAGATCTATAAACCTTACCATACTTAGTTACTATGACTGTTAAATCTCGTACGGATTGCTTTAGCCGTTCAGAAGTAGTATAAGTATTTGTTAATCAAAAGCAGAAGTGTATAGTATAAGAGCTTCACTTGTTCTGCTCAATAGATAAATCAAATATGAAATGAGTATTTAGACTGAATGAATATCGGACTGTCCCGGCGTAGGTAGTTTTTTTTTTTTTTCTTAGGACGCTAAGCATGAGCCCAGGATTGTTTTTCACATTACTTCGGGCTAATGTGTACCCGGCGCAGGTCGTGAACAGACACATAAAAATATGTTTAAAAATTATAGTCTAACTTTGTTAGCAAAATAAATTACTAATTAAAATATTTCTGACACTCATAGCATAACCAAAAAACTTAACAATAATTATGCTTGATTATATATTTAGTCAATTACAATAACATGTTAAATTAACAATCGTCTTGAAAATAAAAACTCAACATTAACTCAAATTGTTATAGGCATATGCTGGCTTCTCATGGGGAATGAAAAGTGATGGTCATGAAGCTGTTGCAACAGGTAAGGCTGCATTTTAGCGAATTTACCTATAGGGAAGTAGCTATTACCGAAGGTGGCACGGTAAGACCTAGACCCTGGACTGATTTACTTTTTCATTTTGATGTCCCCAGAGGCCAAAAACTCCATTCATTCAAATTTTTATATATATACAAATTTATATATATATATATATATATATTATTTATATATACAGGATGTTTTTTTTTTAAACTTGCATCTTTATTTATGTAAAAACCGCAATAGATAGAAATATGCAGTTTGCGGGAATCATCTAATGACGTAGGGGGCCCAATTGTTTTGAATTCTACGTTACATTCACATTCCCCCCCTTTCCCCCCTGCCCCCAACTTAATTTTTTTAAATAGCAAGGTACCCCTTGTGACATATCAAATGAAAGAGCATGAAAAAAGAAAATGTTTGGTGAAATTTATTTTTCATTTGATATGTCACAAGGGCGGGTACCTTGCTATTAAAAAACAAGTTATGGGTAGGGGAAAGGGGGGGGGATTATCTCACATATTCATGAGCCAATTTTAAATTTTTTTACACCAAAAATTTTCTTTTTTTATGCTCTTTAATTTGATATGTCCAAGGGTATGTACCTTGCTATTAAAAAAAAATTAAGTTCCGGGGGGGGGGGATGGGGGGAATATCTCACAAATTTATGAACCGATTTTCAATTTTTTTTCATCAAACATTTTCTTTTTTCATGCTTGTACGGTCTTTAACGGAAAGCCGTACGGCGGTTTGAACAACAAAATTAATGCTGGTGCTACCGTTACCTTGTCGGATGTCTTGAAGGTGGATGATGTCCGTCTCGTCCAAGGTAGTGGGTAGTCCAGGGGATGGAAGCGGTGTAGACAGCAGCGGTGTAGACCAAGGGTGCGGGGGCAACAACAAGGGAAATGACTAGCACTGGTGAAGTTAAAAATGACTGGTATATTGGAAAAAAAACTTAAAACTGACAGAAATGAAGTTAATTGAAAGTTAATGAGATTGAGAGAGTCTATGTAAAATTATGTAGGTAGGTGCGGACGTCTGCCCATGACGCCGTCGGCAATGCTAGTGAGTAGCGTTTCCAGTAGTCGGAGTGGGGACGATTCGCCGTAGATAACGTTGGGCAAGGTTAGGGTAGCACCAATCTAGGGACTTTTAATAAGTACCGAACATTCCCCCCACCCAAAAAAGCAATTTTTGATAAAATATTAAAGAACATTAAAGAAACTGTAAATCTTATAATTAGGGATGGTCAAGTCTCGAAATTTCGGGAAATTTTTGGGAAATTTTCAATCTCGTTACACGAGACGAGATTACTTTTTGGCCGAGATTTTTATCGAGACGAGAATAAAAAAAAAAAAAAAAAAAAAAATTAAAAACACCTGCAGAAAGTCAATGCAATACCCGCAATACAGGAGCGTGTTGTAGTTGCGTTTCCTTTTCGAAGGCGTTCTTATTTAATTAATTCTTTTAATGTAAATATTACTTTAATTCTTTTAATGTAAATATTACTTTCATTATTTTAATAATATTACTTTAATAACATTTGAGAAGTTTTGTTAAGTGTAAGCAGTGTGAGGAATGTTTTATTACTATAAAAAAAGTCAAAACAACAACTATTTTATAAAACTAATATTGCTTTTATTTTATGATTTATTTTATTTTAGGATAAGTTGAACTCTATCCTAACTGATATCACCATGTTTCCTAATCGTAGGCATTTTTAATAAGTTAGGCGTGATTAACAAAAAAATGTTATGCTGATGTTATTTAATGAAAGATTGTAAATATTCTTGCCTATTATCATTATTTTAGTATTTAAACAGTCATCTAACAATGTTACAAAATCAGGTAAAAATTTCGAACGTGCATTTCCCGTTGTGTATGAGAAGAGAAATCTTGTCTCGATCTCGTCTCGAAATTTTATGAGAAATAAAAAATCTCGTCTCGTCTCGTCTCGAACTACAAATCCAATCTCGTCCATCCCTACTTATAATAAAAAACCTTGGATAATAACCGTCATCATGAAACAAACCTGTTACCTAACTATAAAGATAATACAAAATGTTGATAATATGTACAAAAAGACAAAGGTAACACTATCTAAACCATAGGGAGATGAACTAACTTATTTACAGGGCGTGTTACAATACCTACAGGGGTTTTGACTTTAACAACTCTTACAACTTTGTCGGATCCTGGCATAACCTTAATTATCCTACCTAGGGGCCAAGTCAAAGGGTCAGTATTATTAGAGTACATTAAAACTAAGTCTCCTTCCTTAAGGTTGATGGTTTTTTCAGTCCATTTGGGGCGTTGGATAAGAGTATGGAGATAATCTCTTCTCCAGCTTTTCCAGAAGTGTTGAGAGGCACGAGACACTAGCTGCCAGCGTGAGAGTAGGTTTAAGGGTTCTTCCGAGATGTCTTCTTCCGGTCGTGCTAGCAGGAAGTCTCCTGTGAGGAAGTGGCCAGGAGACAAGTAGTTAAAGTCGTCATCAGGTGACGATGAGAGTGCGCAAAGCGGCCTGGAGTTCAGTACAGCTTCAACACGGCACAGAAATGTGGTGAATTCTTCAGCCGTGAAATTATGGTTTTGCAGTATTCTTTTAAGATGGTGTTTGGTTGACTTCACTGCAGCCTCCCAGAGGCCTCCGAAGTTTGGGGCATATGGCGGGTTAAAGTTCCAAGTTATTTCTCGTTGAGCCAAATGTTCTGAGATCTGTGAGGTGGAGTTCTTCAGGAGAGAGTAGATTTCTTGTAGTTGGCGTGCAGCACCGACGAAGTTGCGACCTTGATCAGAGTAAATGTTTCGGCAGATTCCTCTCCGAGCGATAAATCTGTCTATAGCGGCTAAACAAGATTCAGTAGAGAGTGAATGCACTAACTCAAGATGGACAGCTTTGACTGCCATACACACAAACACAGCAATGTAGCACTTTGATAGTTTTGCATTTCGTCTTGTGCTTTCTTTAACGAGAAAAGGGCCAGCAAAATCTAATCCGACATTAATAAAGCATCGGGTCTGTTGAAATCGTGAGGGTGGAAGATCTGCCATAAGAGGCTGCGTGGGTTTAGCTTTCATTTTGTAGCAAGTGATACATCGAAATAATCGTTTTCTTATAAGATTTCTTGCACCAATAATCCAGAAGCGTCTTTGAATTAATGCTTGTACTAGTTTTGGACCACCATGTAGAGAATACAAGTGATAGTAATCACATAAAAGGTTTGCTAAATGACACTGAGAGGGTATCAATACAGGGTGTTTTGATGATTCAGGCAGAGGAGCTAATTTCAATCTACCCCCCACCATGAGGGTGTCCGAGGATAGAAATGGAGAAAGTTTTCTTAGTGATGAAGAACAAGGCTTGGATAATTTCAGAGCTTTTATTTCTTCAGAATAGTGCCGAGCTTGTACTAATTTTATACAACATTCCAGAGCGGCATCTCGTTCCGAAACTGATAACGAGCCAGAGCGTTTATCACATTGATTAGATCGTGAGTTATGGATAAATCTCAGTACATAGCCCATGGTGTTTTGAAGTTTAATAAGTGATGAAAACCTATTCATCCATTGATAAAGATCATTTTGCGGAACAGTGTTAGTTGTTAAGGTGTTCTTCGTGGGAGTTTGTTGAGGCTCAATAACATCCAAAGGAAAGTTTGGAGGCGGTAGAGTCCAAGATGATATATCACTGTGGATAAAAGAGGGTCCATGCCACCAAAGAGGGTGACTCAACAGACTATTCGGCATTAAACCTCTAGTGCCACAGTCAGAAGGGTTTTCATCTCCTGATATATGACGCCAAACATCAACAGGGGTGATTTCTGTGATTTTACAGACACGGTTTGAGACAAAGGTTTCTAGTAGGTGTGGTGGTGTATTTAACCAACCAAGAACATTCATGGAGTCTGTGAATAGAAATATGTCTGATATTTGAAGTTTGTTAATAAGCGGTTGGTTCGCTTTTACTAACTGAGAAAGGAGAAGAGCGGCACATAATTCTAAACGAGGGATCGTAAGTGTTTTCAGAGGAGCGACTTTAGTTTTGGATTGCAGGAGGTTGCACTCTACACTCTTATCTTCACATTCAATACGTAGATACAAGGAGGCGCACATGCCTATTTTGGAAGCATCAGAGAAACCAATCAGCTGAGCGGTTAAGTAGTTACTGAGAATGTAGCGAGGTATTTGGAACTGTGTCATAAGGAGTAGTTCTTTGATGAATTTATCCCAAACATTTTGGAGAGATTGAGGGAGAGGGTCGTCCCAGTTGAGTTTTTCAATCCAAATCTGTTGAAGTAGATGTTTTAAGGTGAAAATAATTGGACTAATAAAGCCGTTTACATCGTAAACTCGAGCAAATTGAGACAATACATTGCGTTTGGTTGGCGTACTGTTGACAGGTGAAATAGAGTAGCGGAAACAGTCAGTAGTCGGGTCCCATTCAAGTCCTAGTACTTTAATCGAGTGTGTAGATCCTAACGGATGGGGTGTTTCTCGACGGTCGGCGGGGATTGTGGCGAGGACGGAGCTACTTGAACTTGACCACTTATGAAGTTCGAAACCACCTGATGAGCAAAGTTGGGTGATTTCATCGTAAAGCTTAAGAGCTGAAGTCTCGGTTGGAGCACCAAAAACAAGATCGTCAATATAACAAGAGGAGCTTAGAATATCAGCCGCATTTGGGTACTTAGCGCCTTCATCAAGCACTAGTTGCTTCAAAGTTCGTTGTGCAATATAAGGACTGCACGAGAGACCAAAGGTTAGTCTTTGTAATTCCCATTCCTGTACAGGGCCCAAGAGGTCAGAGCGCCAAAACAAATGTTGATATTTACAATCAGCCGGTGTTATACGAATAGCTCGATACATTTGTTTGAAGTCACAAGTCATAGCAATCTGGTGCAATCTGAAGTTTGTGATAATAGTTCCAATATCAGCTTGAAGCTTAGGTCCAGTTAACAGTGATTTATTAAGAGACTGATTTGTGTCACTTAATTCAG